CAAACAGACAACAACACAAACATGTAAACAACACCAAAGGTTCCACTGGACAGTCAACCTCGCCGTGAGTTTCTGAAGAGCACGACTCTGGAACAAAATCTATATCTCACACCTTAGTAGGCTCTTTTATCTCATGGACCTTGGCTGCCTTCCAAAGCAGGATGGCGGCAGTAGTAAATACAAGAGTGAGTGAAGCCGCCATTGATGCTCAGGGTTGTGTTTGTCCATGTGCCCTTACTTCACCTCCTTGGCCCATTTAAATGTTGGACAGAGGGATGTAGTGAAGGTTGAAAATACCTTTTTTTCAAAAAATGGTTTCTTAAGGACAGGTAAATGTAAAGTTGTGTTTTCTTGATGAAAAAATAATCTGCCTGCTAACAATTAAGGAGCTTTTTGGTTTGTCAGATTTAGCCCTCCGTACTTACGGATATTCTAATTTTCAAGTGTGTGTGTGACAGACCATGAGGGAAAGTGAGAGCGAGAGAGAGGGCCAGACATTGGTTGGCTTTTGGGTGTTTCCATGGTGATAAAGCAGGATGTGGTCAGTGACCTTCTGCCAAGACAAGCACGAGTCTAACTGACATGTTTACCTGGAAACCACTGACTGTCTGTTGAGCGTCTGCCTGTCTGTCTCTCTGTCTCCTTTGCTGTCCCTCCCTCTCTCTCAATGCAATTGATTTACAAGGTGCCTTATTAGCAGGAAATACAAAACTACTTACTGCCGAAAGAAAAACAACAAATGCGTCATTATAACCTGATTTAATTTGCAACCATGACAATATCACAGTAGAGACTTTGCAGTTGCATCAGAAATCCCCATGGCAACCACATCTGCCTGAGAAGTGGAGAAACGTTGGAGCTGAGGATGAGCACTGCCACCAGACGTGATAGCTGCTCTACACACCTTCATTATCAACCACTGATTTAACATGAAAACACAGAATTAATCTCTCTCTTTCTCTCTGTCCTTCTGACAGGAAACCAGCCAGAGGAGAGGGGAAAGTGCATGTGGTGCGAACAATGACCCATCGGCAGGAACACACACGCAAACGCATATCCTCGCTTCCTTTTTCCTGCATGGGTGTGTGTGTTAAGTGATGGAAGAACTATAGTGGTGTCTGTCTGTCTGTCTAAACCAGGACTTCCTGTCATTCAGCTTCAGCAGGGCGTCTTCTCGGAGAAAGGCCTTCCCTCTCCAGGAGGTAGGACGTCCGGTCACTGGGAACCCCAGAGTGCGCACACACACACACACACACACACACACACACACACACACACACACACCTATGCTTCTCTATTTATATAAAGGCCTTATTGTTAACACTTGGCGGATGCAGAAGGTGTCTTTTAAAGAGCAGCATCTCAGCACACACACACACACACACACACATCCACACCATATGGGGAACGCATCTATGTCAGACAGTTTGATCTATGTTCACCCTCTGACATTTTAACAAATCTAGACTGGAAAGAAACTAAGCAGGAGGAGGAAATGATTTATGGAATTTCAGAATAAAAGCAGGACTCAGTGTTACGGCCTATATGAACTCCTTCTTGTTCTCTCTCTGTTTCTTTGTGAGTGTAAGGTCACAATTTCTTCATGACCCACAAATAAACATTTCTCCTTCCTCAAATGTGAATCTGTTAGATATTCACTGCAGCGTACTTTTGACACTCAGGATTTTGAATCCAACAGAAACAAACTGAACCAAAAAGCTGCAAATTATTCTCCATCCATTTTGGAGGTATGTGTGTGAGTGTATGGGGAGGGAGGGGGGTTCTGCTGGAACTCAAATGGTTCTTTGTGTTGCACCAGTGACTCATTTTCAAGATGTTGTCTGCTGCCAGCTTCAATCCGGAAGCGCATGGCAATTAGTCTGCGAGGTCCAGACAAACCAGAAAGTCTACAACTAGATTTTTAAAGGAGCCACGGTTGATTTTTTTTCCACAGCTGCCGGTACACTAACTTCTTTTCATTCTTTCTCATTTTTGAATGGAGCCAAACTAAACTGAGGCAACTTTACGCATGTGTCTGTGCCAAAGGGAACGCACTGGCTTTATCGCCTTTTACGCACAGCTTTAACGCTTTTTACGCACAGGTTTATTACTTTACGCGCAGGTTCAGTGTTCTGTTAAAGCTGACAATGAATATCTGAACCTTATCAGGTTTCCGCAAATACAACAAGCTCCTAAAAGTCTGCTTCTGTGTCCCTGTTACGCACGAACACGTAGGTCTTGAAAGTTGTCCGTAGAAGGAAACTTAAACTTGTACCTACCCTGCTGAGGACGGCCGCTGCTCCTCTGCCCGTCTGCCCGTGTGTAATGAATGTGTTTGCGTCTTATAGCGGTGTGTGAGTGTTATGTTGGGGTTCCATGCTGCTGTTGCTGCTGCTGTCTGAAAGCGGATCCGCAGCTTTTCTCTCTCCTGCCTCAGAGCAGGAAGTCGGGACGCGCAGACGGAGAACCGGCGCACTTCCTTTGGCGCAGTATTCCCGTCTGTGTAAACACACACACACACACACACACACACACACACACACACACACACTCTATAAACACAACCCCTCCTTCAAACCAGTCGCTCTCACGCACAAGCCACGCGCCAAACTCTCTTTCAGACCTGCACACACCTGAAGTCATGCATTTAAGGCAGACGCGCGCGCGCGCACACACACGCACGCACACACACACACACATGCACGCACACACACTCACACTCACTCATACACCCCCCCAAACACACACACACACACACACACACGCACGCACACACACACACACGCACACAAATATTGTAATTCCGACTACACAGCGCTGAGCCAACTGACAACTGACGTCATCCTCTTCCTGCTCACCGGGAGGGGTTCCTGTTCTTACACACACACACACACACACACACGATAACTTAAAATTGTTGCCCAATCGTTGATTTCACTTCGATAAAGTGCAGGATGTTGCCAAAGCAAATAATATGAATCAGTTTCTGAAGAAAGGTGCAATGATCTGCTCTGGCAACCAAATATAAACATAAAATGATGAATACAAAACCTGTATTTAATTAACTGAATGAGCTGATTGTTTTTCTAGTGCTTACAGTAATGTCATTAATCCGCCATTGTGTACTTTATTACCCTCCCTTTTTTTAATTTTATGTTTTTACCTGTACATTCTTCATGCTAGAGTAGCTACTTATGTTCTTATACATTTTCAAACATATAATTGGCTGCAAGATAAAAATCATACACCAGCTAAAAATACCTCATACAGGTGATTTGATGTTCTGGTTTTAAAGAGAAGAGGCTCAGTGACAGTCAGTTTACAAGCGAAGGGACTTCCAAAGATTGTCTATGTTTGAGAAGACGAATCAAACAACAATGACTTACTGTGTGTTCTGCCTAAAATTTCGATTTGCAAACTCCTGTGAGGGCAAACCGATCCAATGAAGCACCTGACCTTAGCTAACAGACATTACCACTATGTGACAAGCAACTGAATTATCAGTTACCAGGCAAAGTTTATAACTCTATTTATATTCATAGGGAACCATTTTTGACAGTGAGGTGTCCTCACTGTTTGAGATGGACTGTTAGACAAATATGTTTCAACAAACTCTGCACTGTGAACTATCTTGTTTATCGTGTGCCTGTCAATGTGGGCTCAAAGGTCATGTCAACAGCTGATGTGTCCTTGATATCTTGCAACTGATTGGAAAACATGGCTCTATTGGTCATTCTCCTACTCATATCCCTCTTTTGTAAGACTGCCGTCACAGTCTTTCCTAATGTGTATTTCCCAAGTCCAAGCTGAGATGACCCTGGTGACATCATCAGCGTTATTTGGCAGATTCAGCAAATAGTTTTCAGCGTTTTTTCATACTCGGTAAACAAGTCAGAGTGAGACATCTGTCGTATTTCCGCCTCTCTGATTAAATTTCCGGATACCTCATTAGCCCCGCCCACGCCTATAGTCCCGCCTCCATCTTTGAAACGTCAACAGCGCCAAACTTCAGCCTCCCTCACGGGAAAATGACTACTGGTACCGAGGAGCCGCAATGGAGAAAAGTTAATTCGGTCTCAGGGGTGATACCGCGGTCCAGACACGGACACCGTGCAGCTGCAATACGGGAGCTGATTGTTGTGTTCGGTGGTGGAAACGAAGGGATAGCGGAGGACCTCCATGTTTACAACACTGGTGAGCTAACGTTAGCTGGACGCTAGCTAGCAGGTTAGCGGCTAATGTTTTTAGCAGGCGCAGGGGTTGAAAAAACCACACCAGCCCTTTACCGCGACCTTTAATGTCCCTTTAAGAGGCCCTCCACCATTTTAGCATCATTTCGTTGTTATGGGTGTTGGTAAAGTAGCCCTTAACTTGAACTGGACAGTGTAACTTCAGCTGACTATTTAGCTTTAGTTACTATTTTCCTCCGAAATTCAACGTAACACGGTTGTTTCGTTAACGTATTGTTTACGTGCCTTACCGTTAGCTCATGGTGGGAACGCCATGTTATTTGTTGCGTTAACTGGTAACAATTACAGATTGGTAACAAAAAGTGTGACAGTTAAATGTAGTTTTACATATACTGAATATGTAACGCGCACAGTACTGTACAGTACGGTACAAGATACTGTATCAATGTTATGCTGACGAGGGCATTGTGCAATAAAGGTCATTATATTTTTACTGCAGCTGAAGTGGTGTTTAAGGTCGTGCTACTGCAAAGAAAGCTCTTCTTGTAAAAGATGCTTCCAAACAGGGTGTATAAAATGTCTGAAAGGCAGCATCCACCCAGATGTTTTGCCTTATGCAACAGCTGACATGTGCCCATCCCTCCAGTCTCTAAGCAGTGGTTTCTGCCTGCCGTGAGGGGTGACATCCCACCTGGCTGTGCTGCCCATGGCTTCGTCTGTGACGGCAGTCGAATACTTGTCTTTGGCGGCATGGTGGAGTTTGGGAAGTACACCAACAGTCTCTATGAACTTCAGGTAATGTATTTACATTTCATAAGTGGTGATTCCTTTTAGGGGTCGGCGATATGGCTGAAAAGTATATGACTATATAGCTGATTCATATTGATCGATAACGATAATTATCAATCATTTTTTATAACCTATTTGAAATAAGGACCAGGAGAAAATAAATACATTTATTTTAAACTCAGTAGCTTTCTTCTGATTTCAATCACAGTCATCAGTCAAGGCACACGGAGGAAAATGTAATGTCAACACAACTATTAGAAAACACTCAAATAAATGAACTTACACAAGATGGTATAAAAACTACTACTCGACTATTTCCTCGCTATCTGCACTCATTCTTGCTACTCACTCACTCACTCACTCACTCACTCCACGCTGTGTTGTCTTCAGTGTTGCCAGATCTTGGGAGAGAAACAAGCAACCAGGACCAGCAACCAAAATTACTGTACAAATATATTATATTTACTGCCCTTGAGCTCTACCAAACCAACTAGCCGACCAAAAACGTGGAAAGAATAAATGAATGAATGAAAATGAAAGTAAGAAGTTGCATATAACGAGCCATTTTACTTTCACCGTAACAGTGCTGGTATGCTGAACAAGATCTGAATGATGAGTACATATTTCACACAGAATCTGAATCTGCACACTGCCTTTGAATCGTCCCCCTCTTGTAGTCGAATCTTTCAATCCTCTCTCTTTCTACAAATCTTAATTGCATTCTTTCCATATTTCGCCCACTTGTTAGTGAAATAGTTAAAGAACCTCCATTAATCGTGCGATTTAAATGTGAAAAGTCTCATTCACCTATGCGGAGAAGGAGAGGGGCAGAGGGAGTGGAGCTGTGGAAACATCCTGTGGTCCAACATACTATCATGCGTTTAAATAACTTATTAGATGGGTATATGTAGAGAAAGGCGACGTTTGGAGAGCAAGCCCAAATAAGCAACTCCACTTTAGAAACAAGCCCAAAAAACCGCAACCTGTGACTACCAATATTTGTAAGCGACTTTACAAAAAAGACAAGACCAAAGTCGCGGCTTTTAAGTGGACCTGTCAACCCTGGTTGTGTTCACACACGAGGATGGTGCAACCAAACCTGATGTTGTGTGTGTGTTCATGCAACCAACCTTGCACAGCCCGACTCTGAGGGTAACTTTCCTTGTCTTTTTTCCTGACAGAATAAGTAACATTATCGAACGTTATATCGAACGTCTTTTCTATCGACAGCACGTAAGTGTTTATTGCGAGACGATATGTTATCGTTTTATCGCCCACCACTAATTCCAACCCAGTTGCTGTTGTGAAGGTAATTTAATTAAATCTTGACTTTTTCTCTGTGTTGCTCAGGCTAGTCGCTGGCTGTGGAAGAAGCTGAAGCCCAGAGCACCCAGGAATGGCTTGCCCCCCTGCCCTCGGATTGGACACAGCCTCACACTTGTGGGTAACAAGTGTTACCTGTTTGGAGGGCTGGCCAATGATAGTGAAGACCCCAACGGCAATGTACCAAGGTAGTGTGCGAATACATACAAGAAACATAGTGTTTGATAAAGCGTTTGTTTACACTGGGTTTTTCAGAGATGCATGAAAAGGGGGCAAACTGATTGTTTTTGGTTAGATTTGTTTGTGAATATTGAGTGGGGGTAGTTGTGGGGACTTCTTACGGACATTCAGCAAGACATGTGCTCCTCTAGTGTTTAAATTAGAGCTGCAACTAAAGATTATTGTCATACTGCCGATTGTTTTTCGATTAATAGTTCTGTAAATAGTTGCAGATTACTTTCTGTTTAAATCATCTTTTCAGCTCTAGTTAAAAGTATAACTTTTAAATTAGTGCTTAATCCAGAGTGAACTCCAGTGGCTTGTTGATCATGTTGCTCTCTGTGCAAACCCACAGTTAATTTAATGAAACATCCCTGCTCACCAGCGTGGAGACCGTGCAGTTTGATAATAACCTCTATCTAAGAGACAGTTGCATAAATGAGTCTGACTATCTACCATCTTAGATACATGGGTGACCTCTATGAGTTGGAGCTGCAGTCATTATCCGGGGCAAGAGGCTGGAGCATACCAGAGACGAAGGGTGGTGGTCCCTCAGCACGGGAGTCCCACACCTCGGTTGCATACACTGGCCTTGGCTCCCCGAAGCTCTACATCTATGGAGGGATGCAAGGATGCCGGTTAGACGACCTCTGGCAGCTTGATCTCGGTAGGTTCTTTTTTTGTTAGTGACAGATAATATTGACTATTATAAAGTTTCAGAGAGGAAAATTGAAACATTTCGCATGCTTTAATTGACCACAAAACTGGTAGGCTTATTTGAGTTTTTGTATGTATTGCAACTTCCTTATCATTATCATTTCCTCTCTTCAGACACAATGGTTTGGTCGATGCCTGAAACCAGGGGTTCCACGCCACTCCCCAGAAGCCTTCACTCTGCCAATGTCATTGGAAACAAGTGAGAGAGCCGTCATAATCGAAGCAGCAGATGTTTAGTGTGTATGCGACACCTGAACTGGCTAGTCTTTTACAAACTACTGTGTGTCCATCTGTCTGCAGGATGTATGTTTTCGGTGGCTGGGTTCCTGTGCCAGAATCGGTCAGACACACTGCTTTAGGAACTGAATGGATCTGCAGTGACTCCTTAACTGTACTCAACTTAGGTCTGTGTATTTCTCTAAAGATATCCCACACTCTTATCAGAGGTTTCACACAGAGAGAGCATCTTTATTGGTTAAGTTTGTGCTAAATGTGGTGTCAATCTGTTTTAACATCAGGTTTCGTCAGCACCACAGGAAACATAAAGTTCTGATGCATCTTTTTTTTTTTTTATTCAGTCCATCGCTCAGAGGCCAGCAAGTTCACTGCAGCCTGTTTTTTTCCTGTTACAGACACTATGAGCTGGCAGGATTTGGGCCCAGAGCAGCAGGATGATATTGAGTCCCAGCTGCAAAGCCATGGACCCCAAAGTGATGATCCGTATGCCTGTAGACCCAAAGCCAGGGCCGGCCACTGTGCTGCCACTGTTGGGTCCAGGCTTTACATTTGGAGTGGTCGTGACGGTTACCGAAAGAGCTGGAACTACCAAGTCTGCTGCAAGGACCTCTGGTACCTGGAGACAGGTGAGAACTGGGAGCAAGCTGTTCGGAGACGCTTCAAGTGATTTTTTGTGTTGTTGTGCTTAAAAAAATCCCCAAACAACAAAAAGCAAATACAGCTTGTCAATATGTTCTGTATTCTGTCCTCAGATCGGCCAGCCACCCCACAGGCAGTGCTACTCATCAAATCCACAGTCAGCATGCTTCACTTGGCATGGCGCCCTCTGGCGGCAGCAGACTGCTACATCCTTCAGATCCAGCCTGCACCTCCACCAGCCAAGCCAGTCGATCCAACTGGAACAGATGGACTGGACGCGAAGGGTAAAGACTCTGCAGGTATGAAGAGTGCACATATTCAGCTATCCCCTCAGTGAGGAGAGGAGAGGCTCAGGACACAGCTTGGAATAGTAGAAGAATGGAGGTTATTAAACAGAACAATTTTACTGCCTGAAAAATAGATTAACTGAAAGAATCTGTGGCATGTTTATCAGGGTGGGGAACTTTCTAAACACATTCTTGGCTCTCTGGTGAAATTTTGCTTAACTCTCTTCTCTCAGATGTCCAGTCCCTTCAAGCTCAAACTGGAGAAACCACTAATAAAGAAGCGAAAGCATCAGCTCAGGTAGATGTGACTTACTTAACATGGTTAAATCTGTAAGTAAAGATTGTTACATGTATTAACACACCCCTGTTTTAGCATTAGATATACTGAATGGTATATCCAGTCTACTAGCAGACCAATCACGAATGAATGAATGAAAGTGAAACCCATGAATTTGATATCATACTTTATACACATACTTCCATTATTTGTTCAACCAAAAATAACCCTTCCATTTTCATTCCTTAAAGGGTCATTCTGACTGATAGTAATGATAATTCTGTAATACTGTGATACCGTGAAACTGCAATTTTTTTTCTGAGACGGTTATCTTACTGTGAAAATCTCATTCCGTTGCAACCCTAGTCATATCAGTCCCCCTGCTTAACGTCCCCAAACTCACTTCCTTGTTTCTGCTTGTGAAAATGCAGACGTGTGATGTCTGACATTGACATCTCACATTTACCAACAAAAAATACTGCTAATGACTGTGCAAGGCTACTTCCTGATGTTCTGCAAGAAAGCAGGGCTTAACTGTTTTGATCCGTGTTCAACATTGTGGTGGACCACAAACCAAATCGACTGACAAACACGTTTTGTACGTGATGTGCTGTCCTGGCCAGTCCTCCTGTGGACCTCTGCTAAAGGTAGCTGCTGTGTTCAGGAAGAGTGACCCTGTGGCTGTCTGTTTGGGGTCAGGGTGTGCAGATAGTTAAATCATTCGTTTTTTAGAAAAGCTGCTGTAAAATCAGGCATTTTGTACGGCAACAATCCCCAAAAAAGGCCTGTGAAATCCTGGAGGGACTGATAAAAGAACTGTGAAAAATTCACCGTGGTTTGGCTTGGAAATAAAACCTTGTGTTTAATATCAAAACAGGGTGCTTCCATTTTAGAAGAAATAAGTCATGTACTTAAGTTTTCTCCCTGAATTTCAGGATGCCTCAGCACAGCAAGAAGCTGCAGCAAAATCACCCAACAGCTCAGCAGAGACTAAAGCACAAGGAGGGAGGAATGCTGAGAGAGAGACAGAGAAGGACTCTGACACAAAACGCTGCGGTAAGTCTTGTTGTCTAGTGATTGATTTGTGTGCTTCCACAAATATTTTTATTGGGGCCAATAAAAGATGCAATAGGGATGTTGATAAATGTATTGTTTCAGTTATTTCTGTTGCTCTATTTCCCACACAGCGTGAGGGAGACAACACACAGCACACTTTTACTGTTCAGTCTGAAATGCCCTCATCAAATCTGATTTGTCTCCTCTACCCAGCTTAAGTGTTACTGCAGTTTCTCAGCTTTGATCCACTGACCTGCTGCACTCTCTATTTGTATGTTGGCTGTAGGTTCTGGACAGGAGATGTCAGAAATGGAGGTCAGCAGCTCAGATCAACACCAGCAGGGTAATGATGATACTCAAGCTTAAATGTCAGTGATGAGCCAGACTGCAGCACGTTGTGAAGTGAAATTAACTGTGGGCTCTCCTTGGCTTTTACAGAGAAACAGCCTGTTTCAGCTGACAGCACAACAGATCTCTACGCCCAGGCACATCAGGTCAGATACACTCCTGCACAGTAATTATTAGCTCTCATTTGGCTCGGTCTAAACTAAGATTGTAAACTCTCACCGGCAGAGTTCAGATGAATCAGTGTGGTTCGATGTTGGTGTGTTCAAATCGCTCTACTCAGAGGTCAGCCACTACTTTCTACCTGCTGACAGTGACCAGGCGACTGCAGCCATCAGCAGCCGGCAACCAAATACTAAAGAGGTAAAAACAACAACAACGTCTGTACCGTTTCATTCATGAAAGAATGATTAGAAAAGATGGGTATTGATTTTGACTGAATGAAGATGCTATTCATTCCTGTCCTCTCACCCGTGTGCCTTCTGTCAATCCTTTGCTTTCCCATCAGCCCTTCCCCCAGAGAAAGCTTCCAGGGCCTCAGGACTACCAGGGCAGAGAGAAGCAGGAGCTGTCTCCAGGTCAGACCTACAGGTTCAGAGTCGCAGGCATCAACTGCTTTGGCCAGGGAGACTTCAGCCCAGTCAGCGAGTTCAAGACCTGCCATCCTGGCTTCCCTGGAGCGCCCTCTGCTGTCAAGATCACTAAGGTGACATATCGAGGATACTCCAATAGATTAATCACGAACTTCTGTATTCTTCACATTCCTCCTTATAATCCTTTTTCTTCACAGGCCAACGATTCGGTCCACATCACGTGGGAGGCTCCCTCCTCTCCATCGGGCCGGATCCTCGAGTATTCGATGTACATGGCGGTGAGGAAGAGCCGCTCCACCAGCTCGGAGCGCCCGGGTCAGATGGCCTTCATCAGGATCTACCGTGGCACCAAGATGTCCTGCTTGGTCAGTTCCACCCACCTGGATAATGCTCAGATTGACTGCTCCGCCTCCAACCGGCCAGCTGTCGTCTTCCGCATAGCTGCTAAGAATGAGCAGGGCTACGGCCCAGCGACGCAGATCCGCTGGATTCAAGGTGGGGGACCTCAAGTGTTTTTCAGTTTTTGCATATTTTGTCACATTATATATATTTTTATCTTGATTCAGCGTCCTCTTTCTGTCTTTTTAGATCCCAGTAAATTGCGAGTGTCTGCATCCAAAGCTGACAGTATTGCTGAGGCTGACCAGGATGCTGCTGACAGGTAACCACAGTGACCTCTCATGATTTGGGTTCATTTTCACTTTCTAGATCGCAATTTTTCATGAAATTGTCTCTTGCTTTTTCATTTTCTTTTTGCAGCTCCAGCTGAAAATGTTTGGACCAGTGACAACGTTTTGGAAAAGAAAAGAAAGGGTGCACTCAGGAAGATAGCAATGTACACCACTCAAATGTTGTATATTTCATAAATAGTTTTGTTAATTTATTTTTTATATATTTAATTATTCCCTTTGTAAATAGGTTTTCATAGAAAGCTTGACCTCATGGCTATTTTAGTTAAGCAGATGTTTTCTTATGTAATAATACAATGTACACCAAACTACAAGTATGAATTTAGATTCATACCCTCCAGAGGTTGAAGGTGCCTTAGAGCTTACTGAAACAGCCACTGATGCTGCTTTACACAGTATGTCATGGTTTTGAATGAAACACAGGTGGTAAGATGTTTTCAGGGCCAATCATCAAATAGAAAAGCCTTTTTGGCGTGGTGGACCACTTTTACAATCCTACTGACACACTGAGGTTACATAGTGGAATGTTATTTTTGTTTTATAACTGAATTGTTTGATGTGATTGATATAAGATCTTTGTTAACTTGTTTGTCACTGTATCCAACCCTATGTTACCACAAACAGTTTTTATTATCCGTTACATCTCTACAGCACATGTTGTTTTATGATTTTGTTACATTTGTTTATTATAATTACCACTAGATTGTTCACATTGTTTTTAGTTTTAAAAGATCTGTCCCAACTCAGAAATTTGGCGCTGACTGCGACCAAAGATCAGAGCACTACTAATGTTTCTGATATGAATAAAAGGCATCAAAAATGTTAGATATTACAGAGAGAGATTTGTGTTAGCGCTGTTATTGTCTCTGGTTTGACCAGCTCACTAAGTGGCAGACAAGAAGTCTTATAATTATCTTCCCTATCGTCCTCCATCATGTCTGGACTCTGGATTATTGCAGACCTTTATGACTTCTGCGGTAAAGGAAAAGGTGGAGAGATTGTTATCCAGAGCTCAAATCATTCCAACCTGTGCTGCATCTCTTTGTGTTCTTGTTAAAAGACGATTCCATGATTTTGCTCTCTTCCATAGAAGATGCAATAATGAATGAGCATCTGAAAGTGTATTATCATTGTACAGGATTTTACGGAAGTGGGCTGAAGACAGCTACCTAGTGATTTTTGTAGTTGTAAGAAATGTGCCTCAACCTTCTTGGGTGGCCTCTCAGGCAAAGGGTGGGTGTCCAGCTGTGGACTGATTCCTAGTATGATGAAGTTCAACATCAGTTTATTACAGCACCTCATACATACTGATGTAGGTGCATGTTGGTCCCTGGAGTTTTGCATAGTTTGCATCAGCTCAGCTGATGTCCACACGCATGAAGTGAGCAAGGTGTTTACACAAATATGCTCACTTTGCTACTTGTTATGGTTAAGGATTAATATGCTTAATATATTCAGTCCATATGCAGTTTCAGGCTCACAAGTGATATATCAGTTAATACGTTAATATAGTCAGTAGTTAGAAACGATGAATATATGAAATATATAGATCCAGTGTGAAAGTGCCAATGAGGGTTTTGTGAATGTTGTCTTATGTTGTCTTTCTCAACGAGAGAAATGCACTTCGGGAAAAAAAGTCCCATGATCCCACAGTTTGTAGTTTGCAGAATTGCTAGCTAGCGCTGGCTAGCAAAGCAAACAGAAAGCAGGACAGAATTCAACAAAAGGTACGTGGTTTTTGGTATCCACTTGTTCGAGTCTGTAAAGTAAATGTTGTTGTTTACTTTAACTTAACTTTATATGGCCGTATGTCGATATTTGAACCCCAGAAATACTACGCACGGTACACAACGTTAGCCACGTCTTCGAGCTACAGTTCCTGGTACCTGTTTGCTAGCTAGCTAGTTAGCTTACAAGTAGCCGTTTAGCTTGCTGCGGTAAAGTCGTTGGAATTTAAGATGTTAATCGTTAGTATTTTCATTGCGAAAGCTTATCCCAGTCACGCTAATGACTACTTGTGTTAGTTTAGGAACAACGCCTTGACCTTGCAAGGAAATTTCCAGAAGCAAGGAGTGTCCGATAACGGACGCATTAAAGTAGCTAGCTAGCTAGTTAGCATATTAAGTTGCGAGACACAGAGCGCGATATTTAAAAACATCTCCATGCCTTTGACAAATTTGAGATGTAAGTTTGCAGTTTTTACTCTTAAATTATGACATGTCCGCAACTGTTAAATAGAGACTAACGTTAGATTAGTGTGTGTCTGTGGTGAAGCATTGGGTTAATGTTAAGTTACGCCGTATTTTAAGGGAGTACGATGACAACAAACAAACCGTGCACATAACGTTAAATGATGTTAATGCTATGTAGATACTCTTCATCTGGTTTTATTTTTTGACTCTAAGGTATGGATTTGTTTTAGATTGCATGTGAAACTACAGTTTGTGCTGTGGTGTATTGATAGTATTTTGAAGTTAACTGTGTTAATGTATTCTGACAGAGTGACATTGGTCCGAATTTCTCCTCAAAGACAGACAGGATACTTGATGTTAAGAAGCTTAAGTGGTTTGCAATCACAGACTGTGTATCCACAGCAGACGCAGCAGCCAGGGACTGGAGCTGACTAATCACTTGAGATTGATTCAGAGCCTTGACTGGGGTTGTTATTTTAATAAGTAGCTGGGGGACTCCTCTCAAAGCCACCATGGTAACTAACTGACAACAACGCCAGGACTCATTTCTGCCCTCTCAAAGCACCTGAACGCACTTAAGAGAAAGTGAGGGCAGTTCTTGCCACAGCTAAAGAACTGCTGTTCCTTTTTTCGGACACAGACACAGCAATTCCTTTCCCTTGTTCACCCGGCTTTTATTTACATCCTCCTGTCTCTGGCTCTTTCCTGCAGAGGTGAGATGATGACCTCCTCAGCTCTCGGCCAGTCGTCACCACTCCTTCAAAATCTGGAGCCTGGGATTGGGAGGTCTGCAGCCATGCTGGGGTTGTCTGCTGGGTTGGAGGGAGCAGAGATGGAGCTGCAGAAGATGCTAATCGATGAGAGGATAAAGTGTGAAAATTACAAGACCAACTACCGGACACTAAAGGCTGAACATGCCAGGTATATCTGATTGACTTTTTTAATTCTTTGGCAGCCCTTGCCTTTCGTTTTATATTGTGTATGGATTATGGGAGACACACTGAGTCAAGCCCTGGAGAAAAGATATCATTGATATGGTTGCAAGTGTAGAGAAAAAGCAAGAAGAAACCATCTCTCCATCATCACATATCATCAATCGCACTGACATCAGCTATATTTTCATAGGACAAAGTGTGTAGTAATAAGAGAGCTGAATTGTAATGTGTACTTAATTCTGTTTATCAACATTGACTCTGCTTCAGTTTTCCATGTATATGTTGGTACGGCATTGTGCTCAGTCTCAGCCCTGGTTGTTGCAGCTTGCAGGAAGAGTTTACCCGAGCGCAGGGTGAACTGAAGCGCCTGTTGAGTGACAAACAGACTCAGCAGGAGAAACTGCAGCTGCTGTTGGCGGAGCTCCGAGGAGAGCTACTCGACAAAACCAGAGAAGCGGAGGAGCTGAAACTGCAGGTAAACTGCAGAAATCTCACACAATGCAACTTGTGGAAATTAATCACTGAATCAAAACAAAAGAACACATTCGTGTTAGGTGTGGCTGAGATTTTTGTTTTTATGCCTCCTCACTGGCAATAACCGCGGCTAGGCATTATGATTACAGGTTGTCTGTCTGACCGTCAATCCCATTCTTGTGAATGTGATATCTCAAGATTGCCTTTAGGAAATTTCTTCAAACTTGGCACAAACGTCCCCCTGGACTCAACGATGAACTGATTAGGTCTTGGTGGTCATAGATCATACCTCAAGGTCATTGTGACCTTGTCTGTTTCATTCTTATGAATGCATTATTTCAAATATAACTGGACACATTTTTAATAAAAATTGCACCAACGTTCACTAGGACTCAGTGATAAACTAATTAGAATTTGTGGTTAAAGGTCAAGGTCATTATGACTACTACTTGCATCCATCTTATTCTCATGAAATAGATATCTCAAGAAGTTCTTGAGGAAGTTTCCTCAAATTTGGTACAAACGATCACTTGGACTCAAGAATGAACTGATTTGAATTTGGTGGTCAAAGGTCATTGTGACCTTACAAAACATGTTTCTGGCCATAACTCAAGTATTCAAAATTACACATATGTCTAAAAGGAAGTAATGATAAAGTGATGACATTTTATATCCAGAAGGTCAAAGCTGAATGCAGAGGCATACAACCGCAAGGCGGTAATTCCAGTTATCCTTAAATTTGCTTATATGTAACCAAACATCTGACTCTCTGGTGTCTGTTGACCAGGTGATGACCCCTCAGCGGCTGGAGTTGCTCAGAGCTCAGGTGCAGCAGGAAATGGAGGTTCCAGTCAGAGAGAGGTTCAGTAAACTGGAGGAGGTCAGTCTGTTTCTTTATCGTAGGTTTGCTATGTGTGACCATAGTGCCGTATATTTTCTTTGTTGTAACACCCACTAGTGACTGCAGTCCCTATGACAGAGGGAACAATGGTGGCAGTGGTGCAGCTGCTACCCGTTTACGTAAACTTTATTTCTTGTTGACAGTTTCTCTTGTCATTATGCAGTGCATAGGGATTAAATCATATATCTCGACATTTTAGGATTTAAACTTAGTAGTGTTTAACCTAGCTTGACACAAATAGTTGTTCTGCCTAACAAATATGTGTTATAACAAAAAAGGTGAATGTACTTACGGATTTCTGAGGGATTTATTGGCAGTCAGTATGATTGACAGGAAGCCACAATGTAATGCAGCACAGATATAAAACACTGAACAGTGAAATACAAGAATAAACAGCTGCAAAATAAAAATGGAAAAACCTTGGTATTACCCTTAAATGCCGGCTCTAAATTGTCAGCAGCTGTGACTACTAAGTCCATAGCAACAGTCAAGAGATTAACATTGATTGCCTTTTGAAAATCATTTAAAAGTAGGTGCTTTCGTGCTAATTTACATTTTGTCTGCTTGATTGCTCCTCTCTTCCTCCTCCCTCTCTCCTCACTCACTGATTAGGAGCTAATGTGTGTATTCATGGTTCTTTGTAGGAAACAGAAAAGTACAGGTCTGAGTACAACAAGCTGCGGTATGAGGTCACCTTTCTCAAGACCCAGTTTGACCACCAGAGAGAAGAGCATGCTCACATACTGGAAGAGAGGAAGATCCGCTATGAGGCAGAGGTAGGTTTGTTGTTTGGTTGGGCAGCATTTCGATTGTAAATGCTGTTCACTTATATTCTAGTTGTTGCTGTGTACACTTGTGTCTGATGATAAAAATAGAAACTTAATTTAAAGTATCCCCTTCCAGATCTCTCGTCTGGAGAAGGACAGGGAGGACCTGGTTGCTCAGTACCAGGGTTCAGATGTACTGCGTGATGGGAAACGAGTGGAGGCTCTGCTGAGGGAGAAAGCCCAGCTCCACTTACGGCTGAAGGGCCTGGAGGCAGAGGTGGCCGAGCTCCACGCCCAGAGAGAAAACTCGGGCCAGCAGGCCGAGAACGTCCAACGCATCCAGATCAGACAGCTGACGGAGTCTCAGGCTGTCGTGAAGTCGCTGGAGGTGAGACAGCAGCATGCTCTGCTGTTTTTTTCTGCTTTATCTTTTATCTTTCTTTTATGACTGTCGGATCTGATTGGTTGTTGGTGTGACAGGCAGAGCGTCAGTCGTTGCGTCTGCAGCTGGAGCGGATGGAGAGCGAGCTTACTCAGACCCATGAGCAGAACAGCCAGATCACTGGACGACTGCACAAAGCTGAGCGAGAGGTCATCTCCCTCACCTCCCAGGTAACCTGCTCTTTGACCTTTGACCCCACCCTCTGAGATGTTTGATTGACTGTAAAATCATTACACAGCACTGCCTTGGTTTCCATGTCAGGTTCAGTGAAAGTTTTTTCTGGTTCTCAGATTGAAAGCTTGAAGCATTCACATAAACTGGAGGTCGCCAATGTCAAACTGGAGTGTGCCCGCTCTAAAGGGGAGTTGGAGAGGGAGAGAGACACACTGCAGGGGGAAATTGATGGTATGCAACACAGACATACACCCATCCATCTCTCTCTCCCACAACCACAGTAAACACTAAACATATTACCAGCCACAGATTTTATGTTATAATGAACCTCATCAACTGATCCAGACTTTCACATCTCAAATTATATGTATCATTTGTCTCCACAATACAGATTCTCAGTCATTTCTTTCAGTGTATCAACCATAGATTCTCATGTTAACTCGTGTGTCTCAGGTTTGCAGACAGACATTGAGGTGCTGCAGGCTGCGATGGAGCGGCACAAGGAAATTCTGATGGAGAAAGAGAGGGAGTTGGTAAGGAAGGTGCAGTCTGCCCGTGAGGAGGAGCTCCGCAAAACAGTGGCCTTACATGAGGAAAAGTAAGAACCACCATTGCTTTATCTCAGTAACTGCTATCCATCACCTGGTGGCAGTTTAAAAAAAAAAAAAAGAGGTTTGACTCCCTGGCAATGATGGAGAGATGGCATCAATCATTCTAGCAAGGTGGACAATTTAAAGGTTCAATTTTTGTCATATTTGATGAAACTGTCACTATATCCTGACAGTAGTTCATGAGGCTGTGATAGAATCAGGTTCCATTGGCTCCTCCCAGTGCTCCTTATAGCATTTACAAGAAACCTCTGCACCTGAATGAAGACAAGCAATCAGAGCCAGGAGTCTCTAACACAGTGTAATCACTGCTTGTGCACACACTGTGAGCTGCATGGAATAAAAATAACACTGTAGGAAATGAACAATTTTTGACTTTATCAGAAAATGAATACCAACTCATCTGTTGTTATCTTTTCTGCTGTAATTTAATTGCAATTGCTGTTGTTAGGTTGGAGGTGGAGAACCGTCTCGCTGCTCTGGAACAGCAGAGGGCGCTGCAGGATGTTACAGACAACACCCAGAAGGAGGAATTGGAAGAGCGCCTCCGTAGGGCCCAACATGGAGAGGAGGCAGCCCGCAAGGAACTGCAAAACCTGAGGTCAGCTTTTTACTGAATGTTGAGTGTTTCAAAATCTACACAGCTGCCTTAGTCAGAGGGAAAAACCGGTTACAGCCAGCACAGATCAACATGCTCATTCTTCATCTAATATCCACCAGCTCAAGTGGTGACATTATAGTTAGCTATAGGTGTAGTTCTTTTATCTTAAATAAAAAAAAAAAAAAAAAAAAGATGGAATACAAAATGTGCATAGTGTCCAAGTATCAATGCAGGTCACACTTAATTTGCCGAAACAAATTTAGATGAAAGAAAACTGCACATAGGCGCCATCACTGTCAGTGGTTGGCTGTGTTACATGGTGGGAAAGCCTCAGTTTCCCTGCAGGTTCCTGTTCTGCAGCACATAAAGACAGAAACATATCACAAAAACAGTGACATCTAACAAAAACATAAAAGCAAACAGCAACATGAACATATAGAGAGGCATGGACTTGAATGAAGTACACACAAATTATGGGTTAAGTCAGTGGTTGCAGGTGTATCCTTCCATCAGGCAGTGTTTGTATGCCTGTTTAAAATGTACAACAGAGGTTATTGTTCTAATATGATATGGGATCTCATTCCAGAGTTTGGTATATGTGTGAAAAAATTATCTCTGACCATAGCTATTTTTATAGGCTGGTGCTGGGATATGTGCTTGGGAGACTGATCTAGTGATGTGTTCCTGTCCTATGTTGTATCTTGGAAGTAGATCAGTGAGTGCTGGAGACATGTTATTGTTTTGTATCCAATGATAAAAGTAAAAAAAATGTGTACAAATGTACAGGACAGCACTCCAATTATAACGTTTATTGCCACACAAACGTTTCGGGTGAAACCCTTCCTCAGCGTGCCCAAGCAACAAAGTGAATGCATCACACACAGGTGTCACTTATCAATAATCAGGCTGACGCAGCAGCTGCAAGTAATGGCAAGAGAAGAAAAAAAAGGGACCCAACAATGTATCCCTTCTTATATCAACACAAACAATTAAGTAACCACAATAGTGATATTTTTTAAACACTTACTCAACAATGAAATGCATCTCAATTTCGAAGAATTCCAAGCTTTTAACATTTTTAAATAAAAAAACTGAACAGGCAAATGTCTGATTGTTTTAATACAGTTTTATTGTTAACCTGTAGGCCTGTTAGTCCAGAACATTTTTACAAAAAACAAGTTAGCACCAACTTCTCATTCAGTCCCTTTGGCTCTAAAGTGTCAAGGAAATGAATCCAGAAACATTCCTTTTGCAAAAGGATTTTATCCCAATCTCCACCTCTAGGTGGAGTCTTAACTGCCTCAATGCCCATATATCTGAGATCAGCTGTGGTATGGTAGTAGCTATTAAAATGTCTGGCTACTGCTGATTTAGAATCATGATTACGGATAGAACATTTATGTTCACAGATTTTAGTTTTTACTTCCTGTTTTGTTTTACCAACATAGTACAGATTGCAAGGACACTTCAATAAATATACAACAAATTTAGTGTTGCATGTTATTCTACCTTTGACTTTTACAATCTTGCCAGTTTTAGGATGTGAGAAATAATTTTTTCTGATCACATTTGGGCATTGAACACAATTGAAACAAGGAAAATTTCCATTAGGCACACTGGACAAAAAATGATGAGGGTTTTTTTTTTTTTGTAAAACGGATCTCACCAAATAGTTGCTCAAATTGGGCTGCCTTTTAAAGAAGAATCTTGGTGGCTCTTGAAAAGCTCTTCCAATTTCGGGATCTGTTTTCAGAATATACCAATAATTATTTACAACCTTTTTGAGTACACTGGAAATAGGGCTATATGTGCACACCATTGAAACTGAGTTAGAAAGAACTTTGTCTTTCGGCTCAAACAAAACATTCCTTTGGATCTGACGAACTTTATCCATGGTGTTTTCAACCAGTGTTGTTATAACCTCTAGAGACAAAAATATTACAGAGCTCCTTGGCTTGTGTCTCAAAGAGCTTTTCAAGAGCCACCAAGATTCTTCTTTAAAAGGCAGCCCAATTTGAGCAACTATTTGGTGAGATCTGTTTTACCAAAAAAACCTTCTCATCATTTTTTGTCCAGTGTGCCTAATGGCAATTTTCCTTGTTTCAATTGTGTTCAATGCCCAGATGTGATCAGAGAAAATTATTTCTCACATCCCAAAACTGGTAAGATTGTAAAAGTCAAAGGTAGAATAATATGCAACACTAAATTTGTTGTATATTTATTGAAGTGTCCTTGCAATCTGTACTATGTTGGTAAAACAAAACAGGAAGTAAAAACTAGAATCTGTGAACATAAATGTTCTATCCGTAATCATGATTCTAAATCAGCAGTAGCCAGACATTTTAATAGCTACTACCATACCACAGCTGATCTCAGATATATGGGCATTGAGGCAGTTAAGACTCCACCTAGAGGTGGAGATTGGGATAAAATCCTTTTGCAAAAGGAATGTTTCTGGATTCATTTCCTTGACACTTTAGAGCCAAATGGACTGAATGAGGAGTTGGTGCTAACTTGTTTGTTGTAAAAATGTTTTTTGTAAAAATGTTCTGGACTAACAGGCCTACAGGTTAACAATAAAACTGCATTAAAACATTTAGACATTTGCCTGTTCAGTTTTTTTGTTAAAAAAACTTTAAAAATGTTAAAAGCTTGGAATTCTTCGAAATTGAGATGCATTTCATTGTTGAATAAGTGTTTAAAAAATATCACTATTGTGATTACTTAATTGTTTGAGTTGATATAAGAAGGGATACATTGTTGGGTCCCTTTTTTCTTCTCTTGCCATTACCTGCAGCTGCTGCGTCAGCCTGATTATTGGTAAGTGACACCTGTGTGTGATGCATTCACTTTGTTGCTTGTGCACGCTGAGGAAGGGTTTCACCCGAAACGTTTGTGTGGCAATAAACATTATAATTGGAGTGCTGTCCTGTACATTTGTACGCATTTTTTACATTTTTTATTGAGGATTCAGCACCCATTCATACTTCTGAGGGTTGAGCGTGTTTGTTTGGACTTCTGTTTGTATCCAATGATAAAATTTAATAGCCTGATTATTTGTGTAGTTCTGAAAGGTCAAGGCATTCAAATTTGAAAGTGCAGTACAATGGTGAGTCCAGAGGGGAAATTTGCCATGGATCTTATAAACTCTGTTGTACAGTCTGGCTATTGGTTCAGTAATTTCTTTTGTGGTGAGGGACCAGATTGGGAGACAGTAGGATATTGTTGAGAGAATGACTGCATGTAGATATGTGTTAGAGATGACGTTGGTAAGGTATGGTGTGATCTTGGTATATACGTACAGTTTCTGGTTGAGTTTCTTTGTTAAATAATGAACGTGATTACGGTAAGTGAGATGTGAATTGAGAGATACTCCAAGATATTTATAGGTTTCTGTGATGGATAGGTTTTGATTAGCAAAGTGGATTGGGTCTGAGATGAATATTGATCTCTTGGGCGAGTGGAAGTACATACATTCCATTTTCTTGACATTGATAGTTAAGTGGTTAGCATTCAACCAGTCATGTAGGATACCAAGATCAGAGCAGAGTTTAAAGTTTACAATATTAGGCTCTGTGTCAGAGAGGAAAATGACAGTGTCATCGGCATATAGCAGACAATTGGAGTATCTGCACACATCAGGAAGATCATTGATGTACAATAGAAAGAGTAAGGGACCCAAGATGCTACCCTGTGGAACACCCATATCACATATTAAAGGGGAAGATGTTATATGACTGATTCTGACCACCTGAGACCTGTTTGATAAGTATGATGAGAGCATCATTACCACAGAAGAAGAAACTTGAAATGAGCTTTCTGTGTGATGGCTTCTAATTTAATTTCTGTGCTCTTTAAGGAATCCAGTGCCCTGATTAATGAGACTGTTTTCTGTCTTATAGAAGCAAACTGCAGCAGCAGAGCTCACAGCTTGAGGAGCTCGAGAGACGGAAAGCACAGATTGCTGACCTACAGCAGGTAAGTGTTATTTGTCATGCAGTTAGCACAGCCAGGGGAGTTTGTATTGTTGACATAAATGTAAAAAATTGTTTGTTTTTTTGACCCAACAGCAGAACCAGGAACTGAGTGTCCAGCTAGGGACGCTGTCCCACTCTAAAAATGACCTGATGGAGACAAACCAGCGACTGAAAGAGACACTGGACAATCTCAGGGAGGATCTGAGGACAGCCCGAGCCCAGGCTGAAAGGAGCCAGCAGGAGGCAGAGAGGTACACCTGCTCGTCTGCAAATATGCCAGCTGAACAGCACTTCTTTATTTTGGGTAGATAATTACTTTATAACATGATGCTTCAATGACCTCCCTCTTTATTAAAACACTTTCTTTTTCTTCCCTTTGCTTCTCCACGTGTGTTCCTCCTCCAGGCTGGTGGAGGACCGTCGGGTTGAGTGGCTGGAGGAGAAACACAAGCTGCAGGAGCGAGAGGCAGAGCTGCAGCAGAAATACTTTCAGGTTAAAGAGAAACTGCAGAGGGCAGCGGTGGCCCAAAAGAAGGTACTGCTGCTCTCAGTCTTTTGATTCACTTGTCCCAACTTTTTTGGAATTTGTTGTAGGCATCAAATTACTAATGAGTGTATATTTACAAAAAACAACGTGTATCAGTTGTCTTTGTACTTTTTTCAATTGAATATATGTTAGAAAGAATTTGCACTCTGTTTTTATTTTACGTTTTACACATCGTTCCAGCAATGATAATGTCTTGGTGTCCCCTTGCTTATGGAATGGTCTTAAAAGAGACTTGAATTTGTTTTACTGGAACCTACAGATAATGTGTGTGTGTTTTACAGAGGAAAACGCTAACAGAAAACAAAGAGAAGAGACTGCAGGATAAGATCCAGCTGCGTGAGGCCAGGATAGAAGAGCTGGAACTAGAAGCTGCTGCAGCCAAAAAGTAAAGTTCAGATCTCTCATTTTATGAATGAAATAATACAGTTAAATTGACATGCCTGAAACTGTTATGTTAATTACTTTGTTATTATAATTAACTTAAAACCTCAGGTGCTCAAAGTAGATCTTTTTGTCCTCCTTTTAACCGGGCATACAGTATAATTTTAAGGAGCTCTAAGCGACCCCAGGTTAACACTGTTAGCCTTGTCAGCACTGTTGCCATTGTTAGCACCTTGGCATGTTGAGCTAACAGTTAAGGTGTATAATGGCCTTATTTCAGACACCAGATGATAACTTCTTTCTCTTCTCTGTCCAGGCGTTCGTCTTTCTCAGAGGAGCAAGCTCAACTCAACAGACGGTTAAAGGAGCTGCAGCGACGGCACAACGAGTTTCGACGCCTTCTCTTAGGCGGCCAGGGTCTCTATGGCGCTGGTCCCACCTTCCTGACCTCACCCACCCCTTTCCTCCTCCTGGGGTCTGAGGGACCCTTATCCAACATACCAGTAAGCGTAACTAGCAGTGAATATAACTTTTTAGGATAGAACTTTTTTTGTATCAGCCTAGATGGGTGATAATGACGTGTAAATAGATGAATTGAGACAAAAAAAGAGGCAAAAATCTATCATGTAAAAAGCACAAAGGACCATTTCTCCTCCCACAGGAAATAGACCAGAATGCAATGAAGCAACAAAACAAGTTGAGTTTAGATATGAAATCTTTTGATCCCTCTTCACTCATACACAAACCCACAGCTGAATGTGACAAGCTCACACTTCCTCTGTGTGGGTTGTTGAAGGGCATTCCTAAAATGTCAGCTCACTCACTGAAGCAGCAGTATACAAGTTAGGTGGAGCACACAGAGCAATTCAAGTTACAAATTATACAGTTACACACATCGGATTCAGTCATATGTAAATGAAAATAAGAAGATCAAATATGAAACAACATTGCAGAGGTCGAGTGGTAAAACTCGCCACAGTCGGTCACGCCCTGCTCACGTTGTTTATGCAATCTGAAACAATCTGTAGAAGCAGACCAGCCTCACCACAGTGAAACTAACATGTGACCAAAGGCTGATGTCTATTAACCACAGTGTGAATGAAGACACAGGAAGAGGGCTGCTTGTGTGAAATGCAACACAGTGAATGGCACAAGGAGGCCTGTATGTATGTGGGTGAGAGGGAATTAATATGTAGCCAATAAAGCTGTTGTTGCCGCAGGAGGAGCAGCATCAGAGGGAGCTGTCTCTGCTCCGACGCAGGCTGGAGGACCTGGAAAGCGCCCAGCAGCAGCAGCTGGAGGAACTGGGATCTCTGGTGCAGAGGGACAGGGACGCCACTCCTCAGCCTGACCTCTGACCCCAACCATACTCTCCATTGGACTTGGATTTAAAGGGAAGAATGAGATGGCGTCCTGTTCGTCCCACCAAAGACACCAGCAGTGTTGTTATAAAAATAGAAGCATTATTTATTGGTGTATAAACATACAAATGGAGAGATGAGGATGGATTTTGCCAGCGTTTACATGTTTCTCTCATGTTGTGAACCTAGGTTATTTGAAATGCCTCAGCACCTTAAAAAAAAAAAAAAAATCCTGTGACATCTTCAGGGTTTGATTTTTGTATGGAGATGTTTGTTGTTTACACACGTTTGCTCTGAAGCTACACAGAGGAGTTGATAAAAGGCACTACAAGCTGTGAATTGCACAATGTTTATACAGGCTGTTAATACTAGAATAATGTACAGATTTTTTGTGTGGTTTTGACAAGATGACAAGAGCCGGCACACACACAGTCATCGTGTGGCACAGACGTGTTTTTGAAGTAGTAGTTTTTCATGTTAAACTGCAGTATTGAACAAGACATTCAGACACATGACCAGCAGATGTGTTACATTCACAAAAGGTCCTTTTATACAATGTAAGCTACCAGCAGGTGATGGACTTCGGACTTCACTTCAAGGCCCAAAACTTCCAGGATTCAGTTTCAGGATTTTCTTCCCTGATATAATCAGAAGTCCGATAAGGCTTTTTTTTTAAATTTTAAGATACAAAACTCCCCACTGACTCAAGACATTACAGAAAAGGTGAACAGCTTCTCTCTGCTCCTCTTATAATTCCTTAACTCAGTACCTCATCTCCATCTTTGTAACAAGGGATGATGCATGCAGGAGTTCTCCTCGCTCCTCTCACCGTGTCAGTCAGAGTTATTTAATATAAGTGACAGGCTGGCAGCTTAGTTCCAGGAGCAGCTTTTTAGTCCATCAAATAAGTTTTTAACATGATGCAGTTGCTCTGTCACCTCAGTGGGGGCTCCATTTTGGTCCAGCTTCTCTTTGATCTGTAGAAAAGGCAGAGCTATTGTAAGATGTTTTGCAGGTGTATTAAAAATTCCAGAAGTTCCAGACATGGCTCTCAATTGTCATTACAATACACATTTAAGCCTGTACACAAGAGTCAGGTGCACGCCTCCAAAATCATGCAGCCTAACAGGCCTTTCACTGTGGTGCTACACTGTAAAATGTTTCATTTTCACAGACAACTGGTGGGATTTTTTTATTTCTTTTTTTACCTTGTTAGATAATGCCACTTGTTAATAAAGATGTTTTATCTGCTCAGGAATTCTCTACAAAGACTCTATTCTCACATTTTCAGAAAGTGACGTGATTATAGAATGCAAAATGAAAAGTAAAATTCTCTCTGTATTACTCTTGAAATGTTTTGAAGTGTTGTGTTTTGGAAAAACAAAAAAAGAGTGCTACTGTGCACACACAGGAAACGGCAGCCTGATAACAAAGCAGAGGGAAATCAGATGGGTTAAAATCTCATTTCCTCACCACAGGGTGTCTCCTGTGTCGATTTCACAAGTGAAGTCACCCTTGGCCGTTGCTGTCAACATCCCACAAATTTTGACACCACATATTGTGATGCATAGTGTGTCATTTTATTTATGATTCAAATTACAGACGAAATCCATTTCTGCCTCGCTCTATCAGTAGTTCACACAACAGCTACACATTTCCTGGTTTGGATTTGCTGTCATCCACCAGACACAGACCTGAAGATTTGTAATTGGTGTGAAAAGACTTTTTTTTTTTTGGTGACAAAATTGGACCCAAAATCACATAACTGGTCAATCTGTTCACCTGAGACAGTTGGCACTTTGTCGCCCACTGCAGTTTTACTGAGAAGTGTTAAAATAGATGACAGAATGAAACTGCAACTAAAACGTACTTACAACAAAACCAGATGTGGCATCTCCAACATCACCATCAGTTCATACTAGTATTATAAGAGTGTCATTCTCCATTAAAAACACAAACATGAATAACAAGAAAAAGTGTGAGCTCGTCTTGACGATAAGAACTGACCTCAGTGAAGTATCGCTGCATGAACTTATAGAGCTCTCTGAGGGCTGCGGCTTCGTTGAACTCATTTTCATGTTTCTGAAAAGAAAACAGTCATCCATTTACTGCTGGTCTTCACCGCACCAGTTTGTAAACATCTAGTAGTGAATGGACGTTACCTTCGACTCTTCCTGCAGGAATTTCTTGAATTCTGAGTCTGTGACTGGTGACTGGTCTCTGATATGTTTGTAGTAAGTCTTTACTTCCTGTTTGAACTTGGGAATGTCTTTGGCGTAGAGCAGCTTGTTGGTTGGTGCATACTGGAACACAATAATGGTAAAGATATACCATGACTTTTTTTTCCCTGACACTACACTATGACTTTTTTTTATGACATAACATGACTTTTAGCAGTTTTTTCAACATAGTGTTGTATGACTATTTTTGGCATACTATACTATGACTTTTTTTAAAGTTTTTTCAACATTATGTTCTATGATTATTTTTGACATACTATACTGTGACTTTTTTAGCAGTTTTTTCAACATAGTGTTATATGACTATTTTCGACATACCATTCTGATTATTTTGCGACATACTATACTATGACTTTTTTTAGCAGTTTTTTCAACATACATAGCGTTCTATGACTTTTTTGACATACTATACTATGACTTTTTTAGCAGTTTTTTCAACATACTGTTGTATGACTATTTTCGACATACTATACTATGACATTTTTAGCAGTTTTTTTCAACATACGTAGCGTTCTATGACTTTTGACATACTATACTATGACTTTTTTTTAGCAGTTTTTTCAACATACTGTTGTATGATTATTTTCGACATACTATACTATGACTTTTTTAGCAGTTTTTTCAACATACTGTTGTATGATTATTTTCGACATACTATACTATGACTTTTTTTAGCGGTTTTTTCAACATTATGTTCTATGATTATTTTGCGACATACTATACTATGACATTTTTTAGCAGTTTTTTCAACATAGTGTTGTGTGACTTTTCGACATACTATACTATGACATTTTTAGCAGTTTTTTCAATATAGTGTTGTATGATTATTTTCAACATACTATACTATGACTTTTTTAGCAGTTTTTTCAACATACTGTTGTATGACTATTTTCGACATACTATACTATGACTTTTTTTTAGCAGTTTTTTCAACATACATAGCGTTCTATGACTTTTTTGACATACTATACTATGACATTTTTTAGCAGTTTTTTCAACATAGTGTTGTGTGACTTTTCGACATACTATACTATGACATTTTTAGCAGTTTTTTCAACATAGTGTTGTATGACTATTTTGGACATACTATACTATGACTTTTTTTAGCAGTTTTTCAACATAATGTTCTATGATTATTTTGCGACATACTATACTATGACTTTTAGCAGTTTTTAAACATAATATTCTATGATTATTTTGTGACATACTATACTATGACCTTTTATCAGTTTTTTCAACATAGTGTTGTATGACTATTTTGGACATACTATACTATGACTTTTTTTTAGCAGTTTTTCAACATAATGTTCTATGATTATTTTGCGACATACTATACTATGACTTTTTTAGCAATTTTTAAAGATAATGTTCTATGACTATTTTCGACATGCTATACTATGACTTTTAGCAGTTTTTCAACATAATGTTCTATGATTATTTTGCGACATACTATACTATGATTTTTTTAGCAGTTTTTCAACATAGTGTTGGATGACTTTTTTCAACATACTATACTATGACTTTTTTTTAGCAGTTTTTCAACATAATGTTCTATGATTGTTTTCAACATACTATACTGACTTTTTTTAGCAGTTTTTTTTTCAACATAATGTTCTATGACTATTTTCGACATACTATACTATGACCTTTTTATCAGTTTTTTTCAACATAGTATTTCTTGACTTTTCGACATCCTATACTATGACTTTTTTTCAATGTAGTGTTGTGACTATTTTCATCATACTACACCATGACGTTTTATCAGTTTTTTCAACATAGTGTTGTGTGACTATTTCAGACATACTATACTATGACTTTTTTAGCAGTTTTTCAACATAATGTTCTATGACTTTTTTCAACATACTATACTATGACTATTTTCATCATACTATACTATGACCTTTTATCAGTTTTTTCAACATAGAGTTGTGTGACTATTTTCGACATACTATACTATGACTTTTTTAGCAGTTTTTCAACATAATGTTCTATGATTATTTTCAACATAATGTTCTATGATTATTTTGTGACATACTACTATGACATTTTTTAGCAGTTTTTCAACATAGTGTTGTATGACTTTTTTCGACATACTATACTATGACTTTTTTAGCAGTTTTTTCAACATAATGTTCTATGACTTTTCAACATACTATACTGACTTTTTTAGCAGTTTTTTTTCAACATAATGTTCTATGACTATTTTCGACATACTATACTATGACTTTTTTTAGCAGTTTTGTCAATGTAGTGTTGTGTGACTATTTTCGACATACTATACTATGACTTTTTTTAGCAGTTTTTCAACATAATGTTCTATGATTGTTTTCGACATACTATACTATGACTTTTTTAGCAGTTTTTTTTCAACATAATATTCAATGACTATTTTCGACATACTATACTATGACTTTTTTAACAGTTTTTTCAACATAGTGTTTCATGACTTTGACATCCTGTACTATGACTTTTTTTAGCAGTTTTTTCAATGTAGTGTTGTGTGACTATTTTTGACATACTATACTATGACCTTTTTAGCATTTTTTCAACATAATGTTCTATGACTTTTTTTGACATACTATACTATGACTATTTTCATCATACTATACTATGAACTTTTATCAGTTTTTTCAACATAGTGTGTGACTATTTTCGACATACTATACTATGACTTTTTTAGCGTTTTTTTCAACATAGCGTTCTATGACTTTTCTTTAGTAGTTTTTTCAACATAATGTTCTATGATTATTTTCGACATACTATACTATGACTTTTTAAGCAGTTTTTTCAACATAGTGTTGTATGACTTTTTTCGACATACTATACTATGACTTTTTTTTTAGCAGTTTTTTCAACATAGCGTTCTGACTTTTTTCAACATACTATACTATGACTATTTTCATCATGCTATTCTTTGACTTTTTCAGCATTTTTTTCAACAAAGTGTATCGTTTTTAACATACTATACTATGACTTTAGGAGTTTTTTCAACATAGTATTACATAACTTCTTAGGACATTGTATACTATGATGTTTCTTGCATATACCATGACTTTTTTTTAACTTTTTACTTAGGGTAGTATGGCTTTTTTTCGGAATACTGTGACTTTTTTTTCCTCAACATACCCTACTATGTCTGTTTTTGTCATACTATGACTTTTTTTAAGCAGTTTTTTGACATAGTATACTATGACTTTTTATGAAAGTGATGACACTGATTTCTGACACTGATTTTTTTTCATTCACTATGACTTCATGGAAGTTTTCTCGACATACTATACTATGATTTTTTTTTGCAGTTTTTTCAACATCTTATACTATAACACTTTTTGACATACTATACTATGATATTTTTTAATCAGTTTTTTTCAACATTGTATACTATCACACTGAAATATTATACTATGACTCTCAGCAGTTTTAGAAATATATAAAAGCTAATAAAAAATGATGAAAAATTATTGAACATTAACTTCAAGATTCATGAATATACTCTGCTTTGTATTAGGGTTGATTCACCTTTGATTTCACCCCTTTCTACAATCTCAACCAGAAAAAGTGGGCTTTCTCTTATAGTAAATTACAGTATAGGACAATTGTCCTGTACGTTACCTTTCCCAGCTGGGTCTCACTGAGGGAGAAGGAGTCCATGAAGGCCTGAGCAATGACAGACAGACAGCTTTCTTGTTGTGGAGTCTTCTCCATGTCGAAAACAAACTGAGGGTTTTTCAGGATGTTGACCCAGAAGCGCAGAGGCAAACTGCACAGTAGCATAAAGATGTCAGGAAGAAAAGATGCAGCTTTAATTCTTAACTTCTGTACTAAAGCTTTTCACACTGTCCATGGAGCAGTACATGACCCCATCATACCTGTTGGTCTTCCAGATGTGCAGGACATCTGGGTCAGTGATCTTCATGTTGTCTGCCTGAGTGTCAAGGAAGTCAAAGAAGTATTTGACAGCAAGCGGGACTCTGCTGTGCGGCGTCCCCCAGATAGATCTGAACAGGTTCTCCACAAATGAATGCACCGCCACCTTAGACACAGAGAACAAGGAAATGTCATGTATTGCTGTCCTGTATAGTTCAGAACAGTATAAAGAAAAGTTCAAATTCC